AGAGGGACCTGCTGTTAGGGAAAGGTCTGTCAGACAGGGTGGTTTCCACCCTCATATCAAGTCAGAAGCCTTCAACCTTGGCAATATACAACAAGGTGTGGAAAGTGTATTCTGCATGGAGGGCAGACGGGGATCACTGGAAACTCACTAAAGTAGTTTCAGTGCTGGAATTTCTACAGGATGGCGTGGAAAAGAACTTGTCATGTAGTACCCTCAAAGTGCAGATTACAGCACTGGCTACGTTTTTAGAACACAGGCTGGCAGAAGAACCACTGATCAAGAGGTTCCTTAAAGCGGTAGCCAGGGCAAAGCCCCCAGGTACAAATCATTTTCCCACTTGGGACCTGTCGGTGGTCCTGCGTGGGTTCCTACAAACCCCTTTCGAGCCAATAAGGGAATGTTCACTGAAAATCTTAACACTAAAGACGGCGCTCCTAGTTGCCATGGTCTCAGCCAGAAGGGTCAGTGAGATTCATGCGTTGTCAATACTAGACGCATACTGCAGAATTCTACCAGACAAGATTATTCTAAAACCGGACCCGGCTTTTCTCCCTAAAGTGGTCTCGGTATTTCATAGGACCCAAGAAATAGTGATTCCTTCATTTTGTGCTAATCCAGCAAATGAAAAGGAGGCTGCGCAGCAGGGCATCGACGTGCGTCGCTGCGTCCTGGAATACCTGAACAAGACTAAAGAGACTCGGAAGTCCAATAATTTGTTTGTGCTGTTTTCTGGCCCTAAGTCGGGCCTAAGAGCATCCAAGAGCTCCATAGGGAGATGGATTAAAATGGCTATACACCAGGCATATGTTCTACAAAACCTGGAAACGCCACAGCGGGTGACGGCACACTCCACGAGGGCCTTGGCCGCCTGCTGGGCAGAAAGAGCTGGGGCTACCCCACATCAAATTTGCAGAGCAGCAACCTGGTCCAGTTTTGCTACATTCGTCAAACACTATAGAGTGGATCTGACGTTAAGCCAAGATCAGGCTTTTGGAAGGAAAGTGCTGCAAGCCGTGGTCCCGCCCTAAATTGTGAGTATGGTGCTCGTTTATCCTCTCTAATGCTGTCCTGGAAGGTGACTATAGAAAATCGGAGTTACGTACCTGGTTCTAGGAACCTTCCAGGGCAGCAGGGATTCCCACCCGGTTAATGGTGTGGCTTGCTGTGAGATGCCGTACTTTCGGAGTTGACGTATATTTTTATACATATGTATAATTCGGTATATGTACAGCTTTATTGGGGTAGTGATGTGGTATCCTTCGGTTCTTGTGTTTTAACTGAAGTGTGCTAGGCTGGGACTCTTTTTATTCTAGGTGTGGGTGATGTTTCCTGTTTCCGGTGGGAGGAGCCTATCTCTAATGCTGTCCTGGAAGGTTCCTAGAAACAGAGTTACCAGGTACGTAACTCCGATTTTTGCTGATACTCGCTCCATGGCTCTGAGCGCCAACAATCATCCCACGTTCAAAGGCTGTTAAATCGCGTTGTTTACCCATATCTTCCGAAAAAAATCACTTCTACTGTCGTGGTAAACAACCTGCTTCCCTACTTATAATGGTCTGGCCCTCTAGCAACTTCAGCGCAAAATTATAGCTAATTCGCCTACAAACGTCAGGTGGTCATAATAATCTGGCCACTCAGTGTATAAATCCTGTATAATAATAATGATAATAATAATAATCCTGCGATTGCTGGTGAACTTAATTGCTGATAATTTTGGATATGCACGGCGACATCCATGGACATCACTACGAGCACCACTGCTATTTCTAGCACGAGTCCTGATTGCTGTATACACCAGGAGACATCTTTGTTTACTGATCTGTATAGAGAAGGCCATCTTGATATAGGTGATTTTCAGGAGGAATTCAAGGCAAAAGGTATTCAGCGTACTGCTCAGGCACAATTAATATTTCTAAATATTTCTAAATAAATTTTTGGGTTCAGCAATACTGTAATGTGCGTGTGGTAACACCCCGCAACCCCCTATAACAGTGTGGAGGGTCCCTAAGTGAGCATTTAGATTTTACTCATTTGTGATTACTTTGGATTTTGTTATTTTGTATACCCTTAGAAAGAACATAAGCATTGCATTAATTAAGCATGCGCTATGTGACTTACTCTACATTCTTCTTCATCCATGTTTCCAGTTTCTTTGTGATGTGCTGTTGTCTCCACTCAGTCATGTTGGCTACAAATACTCCTGGGTTAAAGGAACAAGTGCTTGGGCTTATGCCCAGCTCCTGAATAGTTTGCTTCCTGTAGTCAAGAAATCCCATAAAACTGTTCTGAAAGAGAAGACATGATATGACATGAACACTTTGCTTTGGCATATATGTGCAATAGCATGTATTGCCAAAAGAATAGCAGCCAAGCACTTGTTGTGGCCTATATAGTTAGATAGGGATACTCAGGGCCAGATTGACCATAAAGTTGCTTCCTTGAGCAGCCACTTCCCGAGGGGTGGCTAAAGTTGCAAGTACTGAGTCGTGATCTGGCTTATGATAAACCTGGCCCTGATTGCTAGCCACTAGTGCAGACAGGGTCTTTTACTATCCTGCTCTGGTTAGTTGGTGTTAGGTTGCAGTTATATATGTGACAAGTCCTACAGAAGATTGTGCTGTGGACTGTGCATCTCACTGCAGTGTGCTTAGAAAAAGTACTGCATGCCATACCTTTTTTAAGGGCACCACACCGGAGAGCCGTGGTGTGAACCAAGCCCATCCATGACAAGGCAATTTGCCTTGTCTTGCGTTTGGACTGCACTGGAATAAATGGCCAGCACAGCCTGACGGCAAATGGTGTGACATTGAAAGCGCTTCTAGTTAAAAAAAAGCCTGGCATATTGTTTGTACTTGTACAGGAGTGCCAACAGAAGTAAAGCTGCAGGTTTATTTTTATAGGGGTGTTGAAAGACTGGAATCCCATCTAATGTATGTTACAGGAGCTAGGAAAGCATCTCCTGTATAAACAAACTTACTTTTCAATACATCATAACAATATAATGGTTACAATGTATTTTGTAAACAGGAGAACTATGAGGTGAGTGCTTTTCACTCACCTCATAGTTCTAGCCGACCTGTGACAATGAAACTGTCACAGGTCAGCCCAGTAGATTGGGAAGTGAGCGAACACATACCGGTGCTCGCTCACTTCTCGATCCTGTCACTGCAGAGAGCCGTGACAGGGGAGGGGCTGGATTCCCCCCCTCCCCGCTCCGATCCTCCAGCGCTGACTAGCGGAACGGACAGGGGAGGGGGCGGGTACAGCTGGCTCTGCCTCTAGATAGGCAGAGCCAGCTGTCACTCACGCAGCGGGGCGGATCCAGACATAATTGTCAGGATCCGTTTCAGCTGCGGCGTCTCAGTATACCACGAGCTGTAGCTCGCAGTATACTGACGGGAGGACACTAGTTTGTGTCCTCCCGTTACCCTTAGGAGAACTATGGGGAATAACCCCATAGTTCTCCTTTAATGTCCAGATCAAAGGAGATTCCTTTGATCTGCACATAATATCAGCTAAAGCAACCTAGCAATTCAAATTGCACCTATTTAACCTCTTAGTAACCTTTGCATAATCAACCCTAATTAAAGAGGACCTTTACCCATATCTTTAAACTAACAACAAACAAACCTTTAGAATTGTTCAGTAATGGCAATCTACAAACACATGACTTGTATTCTTTACATACCTTATTTCTCTTTTATCTCCCAGTCCTCTGACAGTGACCATGTTAACTAAGGGCAGGTTACTAGATCGCCTTTACTTCCTGGAACTCTGGCACATGTGACAAGGACATGTGACCATACACATTATCTCAGGGGTAGAAAATGCCTTTCCATGAGGTCTTCTGAGATTACAGATGAGATTTCCCAGCAATGCTCTGCTGATGTAACCTCCCAGGATGCAACCCTTTGGCACTTACTGTACATCATTTGTGCCAGAAGTGGACCAGGAAGTAGATTAACTCTATTTTTAGGTAAATTAAAAACATGTTTACTTAACTAATGAGGTAAGATTATGTTAAATCAGCAGTTTTAGTGAAAGGGGGTAGTAGTCCACTTTAACTTCTTCCTCCCCTTTTCCTCATAATTATTGTATTGTTGTTGTATTATTCATATTTTTTTTGTTTTTAACACATTTATGTGGCAACTTATTAAGACATTTTTTCTTAAAATTTCAATGGTAAAGAACTTTGTTATTCTCTGTACTAGATATGTCATTTTAGTTTCAATTTTTTAACAGACAAAACAGGGGCAGAGCTTGGAGGGAGTCATGTTAGCAGGTATGGCTTAAAGCACCAGATTTTCAGCGCTTCTAGACTCCCATGATGTAAATCCGGCCATGAGGATGTTACCATTGTAAATGAAACCTAAGCAGGTCAAAGTCAGTGCCATAACAATGACCATAGCAGCTCATGCGGCAGCTATGGACCCTGGGGTAGGAGGGGAACCCCATTAGGGAGCCTGTTAAGGAAAACTAAACAGGTGCGTTTTTTACTATAGAAGGGCTCAAGTTCTAGTCACAGGTCCCCCTCTGTGCAGTAAAAAGCATTGCTTATCTGTCTTAGCAGCGTAGATTTATTGCCCTCTGAACTCTTGCTACAGAAATTGACCCACTATGCCTAATGTGGTTACAAATCTCAGAGTTAAAACCTTATCCCCTGGCTGAGGTTTTTAGTTTAAAAAATAAGTTAGAATTTAAAAAAGTTTGTGTTGTAGAGTAATTGCAAGAGCATTAATAATGTTATCACCATATCAGATATATCATTTTGATTATGTTATTATCCAATGCATGGTCCCTAGTAGTGTACTGGCAATGCTGACAGCTCTCCTGATGTCTGTCCATGATTTAAGCATATTTTATATTAAGGTCAATGACATGTATTGTCACAGTTCACACTGCCATGTACTACAGACAACTGTAGCACTGGAGTGGCCCCATTAAAATTTTGCTGTAGGGACCCATGATTTTTACTTATGCCCCTGGTCACAGTATTTACCATTATGTAAATCTTTTTTATTATTAATTTAGGTACATTTGTACAGAGCCATATAGAAAACTATTAATTGTCCATTTTTGAGTTATGAATGTTTAAGGGTATTTTGGAAAGGTGAAATAAATCCCTACCCCTTGTAATGATAAAGACCACCCGCTCATAACAGCCCAACCTGCAGATCCTAGTTATAAAAATGTTATGTGGCACAGTGATGTTCTGAGAGTTGGGTTTATGACATCTAAAGAACTAAGAACCACTGTCAACTTTGAACATTGATCTAGTACCTGTATTCCTATTTTCATGGCAATTTCCTGTAGTGATGGTAAGTCACAATCGTCAGAAAATGCAGCAACATGCCCCTTTGATAATTTTGTGTTGTAAAGTTCTTGAATATCACCTGTGAATGGAAAACACAAAAAAATGTCTAATATATTTAAATGAAGCTTTATAAGAAAATTAGTTAAGTTTGTTCTAAAGGTGCTCATACACCTTCCAACCATCGCACGACTTTCATCCTGCGATGGTTGTAAGGTAATTAAAAGCTTGTACGATCTGCCCATCTTGGACAGGCAGATCATACTTGCGATCATCGCATGCCCTCCCCGCTGAGAGGAGGGCTTGCGATGATTCAAATGCTGAGCGGGCAGTGTACTTGCGCACACTGGCCCGTGCGGCATTTGTCTCCCAAGAACGCCACTAACCCGCCGAAAATCGTAGGATTCTCGGCGGGTTTTCAAACCTGCTCGGGAGACAAAAGACGTGTGACCTTACAGTAGAAATGGTTGCACGCCTTCCATACACTTGCCTATTATCGTACGATCGCAGGATCACCCGCGATTATCGTACGGTAAATCGGCAGGTGTGTGGGCACCTTAACACTGCCTATGTTTCTGATATCATATCTTAACAGCTCTTAAGCAGTGAGGTTGAATAGGGCAAGTTATGTAGTTAATCTACACATCTCTTTATTTAATATTAACAAAAATATAATAGAGCATGTCTGTGAAGGTTCTCATTCATCCAGGTCATGGTATATCTGTAAAAAATAAGTCAAGGCAACTGGACTTGCTGTATTTTTCTTGAAGACTTTTCACTAATCATCTAACCAGCTTTTTCAATTCAGAATGACTTGTACACAAATTCTCTGGGAATAAATACGGTGAATGTTGCTCCAATCCACATAATCTGTTAGTCACAACCAGGTGTTGATTGCATTTGCTAGGAGGTGTTATTAACCTGCCCAGAGAGTGGTGTTAAAACAGCATTGTCTGGTGCAGACAATCGATGTCTCACTCTTTTCTCCCTCCAGAGATCGGTGACTGTCATTATTGTCAATATATTGACAATATTGTCAGGATCTTTCCCAGCTGCAGAGTGGCTCTGCGCTGTCAGCATATAGTGGGCAATAGCCCACTATTTGCTGAGTTTTGGGTCACAGGAGGACATTACTAAATGAGTAAAAAACAGAACTAACGCCAAAAAAAGGTTTGGCCATAGTTCTCTTTTAAGCTTTGGGTGCCAGATAACATTTGAGACCTGTAAGTGTCATACAAAGGAGTCTTTTTTGTTAAAGGTTTCGAACTGGCCATAGACTTTTGAACCCTTCTCAACAATACAATGTTTCTAGGGCAATATATACCATTAATAAGCATTTCTGAGGTACAAAACAAACCGACAGGTTAGAAAACTTTGCTTGATCGTTATTGTTTCCTCTGGTACCAGCATTGTATACATTTGTCTCCCAGGAGGGTTTCTGTTTATGGCCAGAAGTTTTATTACACCATAGACGGGAGATTGCGCACACGCATAATGACGTCATGTGTACTTCACCACCGTCTTGGTGATGGATGCCGTCAAGTGGAATAAGGTAAGGTCTCCTCCCCTCTTGTGCAGCTGTCGGGCTCTCGGTCCATGACCGAGTGCTCAACTTTTCAACCCCCTTGTGATGCCACTGTTCCTTAGATCCCTTCATCACGCTTTATTGACAATTATATAAATCCCATCAATGGGATCGAAGGAATCCCAAAAACATGGCTCCTTCAATAACTTAAGTTAGCCAATAAAGGGTATCACCTAAAGTTATTAAAGATGGAAGATTTTGATATTCCTTAAATCACTTTGTTAGTCTTTATACATTGAGAAATATATAAATCCTGAAAAAGGGATCTAAGGAATCCCTAAGTGTGCATCTTCAATAACCTAAGTTAGCCAATAAAGGGTATCACCTAACTAATACTAACTTACAAAAGTACTATTGGTATGATAATATATAATTATTAATAAAAAGAAACCTACCTAATACAATGATATCATCATCCAGATAAATTACTTTCTCGTGTTCCTTGATAAGCAGTGGTAGGTAGAAACGTACAAAGTTCAGCTTTGTGAATAAAAAAGGTAATGGAAAAATAAAAAATCCATAAATACTGATGTTATAAAACTGCAAATAATATTACACATTTTACAAATACAGTATATTGTGGCTCTACTTAAAAGAGAACTATGGCCTAATCTTTTTTGGCCGTAGTTCTCTTTAGGGTCACAGGAGGACATATAATAATGTCCTCCTGTGACCCAAAACTCAAAAGCATATAGCGGGCTATTGTGCACTATATGCTGACAGCGCAGAGCCGCAAAAAGATCCTGACAATCTTCCTGATTGACAGATGGCTCTACCTCTCTAGAGCCAGAGCCAGCAGTGCCCGCCTCTTCCCTGTCTGTCTCTTCAGTCAGAGCTGGAGGAACGGAGAGGGGAGGGGAATCCCTGTGGGGGTGATGGCTGACAGTCGCTCCTCTCTGCAAGGAGAAGATCGGGAACTGAGTTATCAGTGGTACGTGATTGCTCAGTTCCCGATCAACAGAGCTATAATTATGGAAATGAGTGTATTTCACTCTCCCCATAGTTCTCTTTTAAAGCTTAGTAATAAAAGCTTGTTGAAACAGAAGCCTCTGAATACTTACATCTCCGGCAGTGGGTTTTAAGCACTGTAGCCTCCAGCAGTATCTTTACATCTAACACCCTTCTGAGTGCAGAGCCGTAGCTAGCTCCTTTTGCGCCCGAGGCAAGAAGGGAAAATTGTGCCCCACAAAAGACGTGGTGTGCGGTATGTGATGTAATGAGCCCCGCCTACAGAATGGCGGTGCGCATGTGCAGAATGTGCTGGTGGCCAAATCCAAAATAGCAAGAATATTTGTTTCGTTTGACGAAACTAATGAAAACATTTTTAGTTTCCATTCATTTCGTCAAAAACAAATGTTTAGTCTTTGCACATGTCTAGTAATGTGTGTGCGTGAGGGGGTATTTTATTTTTGTTACAATTTTTTTTTACTTTTGGGGGGCTCCGGGGAAATATTAGGGGTCTAAACAGTTCAATTTTGAAATAGAAAAAGAGATTGCAGACACAGAGTCCTCTGCCCATACAGGTGGGGGGGAGCAGCAGGGATCCGAGGAGAAGCTTGAGCCTGTGCCGCTCCTTCTCCCTGCCGAGCCGTGGCTGTGTTGGCCGGCCGCCGCCCCCGTTGCCAATGGCGCCCTGTGCTCACCATAGCAACAGGGGCGCAGTCAGGCTGGCCCTGGCTGCGCCTCCTCTCAGTTGCGCCTGAGGCGAGTGCCTCACTCGCCCCATGGTAGCTACAGCCCTGTCTGAGTGTGTTGGATGCCTGGTCCCCTGTTGCAAATAATGTTATCTGGCAGTGATGTCACAAATTAATTTTGTAGTGATAGAGGGGCTGGAACTTCAGTGCGTGGTGAGGGACGCAGATATCCAATGCTCATGGAGACTGTAGTGCTTGAAGACAGCGGATTTTGGACCTGCCATCTGCTGAAGCATTTAGGGGGCTTCTATTGCAGTGAGCTTCTACAGCATTTTTTTTAATCGACACAGTGGCTATAAGGAGCGGTATTAGGAAACAACATAATGTTCACTGAATGCACCAAATGGTCAATGATAAAGGACCTGTACCAATATAATCACATCAAAATGAAATGATTCAGTGGATGTCTGCAGCTTACATAAAGAAACACAGGGTAATTGTGCGCATTTGTCTTCCAAAGTACAGAACCTGTAATGATGTGTAATATGTAATAATATACAGTATATGTAAAAATGTGACATTGCAAAGTAAAGCAAAATGACAACACATCTTTTTATAATGCATTTTTTAGGTCCTGCACACTTGCCTTGTAGCCAATTGCCAGCATGCAGTGTTTTATGCAAAATGTGTTTCTAATTCATAATTCTAATATTGTCCTTAATTCAGAAAGTATTTGCAGTGCAATGTAGTTGGCATATCTGCTTACTGGTTGAAGAAGCTCCGGGAAAGCTGTATCAGGGCGAATTTTTCCTTTAAGTACCACTGGGTTAAATTCTATAATTTTAAATCTAATGTCTGATAGATGAGTGCCTTGAATCCATTTCCTAAAATACAAAATAAACTGTCACAATTAGAAAAATAAGTGAGTGTGAGGTCTACTTGAAGCAATTTATACAGACTACATACAGTGTGCTTATATTAGCCAGGTTGCTAGAGATCCAGTTTGTTCACATGCACATACTTGTTTATAGGCTCAATTCACCAAGCTTTACAGGCTAAGATAAGAATAAGGACTTTTATTTTAGGGCTCCGTCACACCTGCATGTGCAGAAGGCAGACCAGTTTGTGCATTATGTGGGACATAACATGTGGTTGCTGGTGTGACAGAACCCTTAATTCTTTGACTGTAATTTCTTAAATGTAATTTTTCAAATCTCAGAATTGTGCCTCTTGCACCATATTTTATCAAGCAATAGGGGGGAATTTACTAAAACGGGAGCAAACCAATCAGCTTCTCTCTTCAGCTTGTTCAGTTAAACTTTGAAAATGAAAGATAGAAGTTGGTAAAGCATAATCTTATGGCTTTGCTGTCCTCCATAGCAGCTGTAGTAAAACAGCATTTGGAATCTGGTTGCTAAGGCAACCATAGTACTTTGCATTTGCTGTTATAAATGTGACCATTTTTGCTTATTTTACAATTTGCAATGGATGAGGACACTCACCTGATATGAACTAAACTGTTTCTTAGACCAATAATATAAAAGAGCACATTGGCATTAGTGTTGCTGTATATGCTATTGATTGCAGCAATAGTGCCTCCCATCCGGCCTGAAGGTGCACAAATGACTACAGGAATGACATCCTCCTCCTCCTCTTCCTCTTCTATATCTGGATCTGGCGTAAATATAATAGAAATTACATATAAGCAACACAAGCTTAAAGTAAAAACACTGGATATGAGAAATCATTAAGAATAACCAGTTTCAAGTTTTAATATTTGCAGTTGTAGAACTATAAATATAAAAATGTATAATTTTTCAGTACCTGGCACCCAACAAACTATGTTCTAATTCTACAACTTCCATTGCATCATACAGAATGTGAGCAGCGGAAAAAATATAACATGAAACAGGAGGAAGTCCCACCAATGTGCATTTCAGGGGAAGAGCAATAAATGTTCATAGCAAATATATACATTTATAGAAGTTTACATAGTCCTGCACAGAACTGTAAGGCTAGAGAAATAGCAATTAGGAAGACATGCCTGGAGTTCAAAATAATAACACATACACCTTTAAAAAAAAAAAAAAAAGTGACTGCTTTGTATTGATTGTTTTTATGCAGATTTTTTAAAGCTACTGATATTTGGCTCTAAGATCAGCACTACAACTTCTTAAAGTAACAGCACTTGCTGTAGCAGGCTGGCAACGCTAAGGCATTGTCTCATGATTAGCATCAGTGCTGCCAGACTGCTGTGTGCACTTCTTCAGTTGGCTGTTGGCCTCAGAGCCCCCAATAAGGGGGTACAAGCAGCCCCGAAATATGTGATCCGAGCCCCATTGGGCTGGCTCTGTCTGTGTCTCCCTCTGCTCATTTCAGTCACATTGCAGTAACTCTGCAGTGTTCCAAGCCCACCAATCTGGCAGCTGCCAGTGCCATCCCTGCCATAGATTTGATAGGCAGCCCAAATAAGAAGTGTATAGATCACCCTGCTGCTAATTGCAAAGCTAATTGCAACTGGTTTACAATAAATGATTTGCTTACAGAAACGGAATACAGTAAGGCATAATGGTAAACATATTGAAAATTAGATTTTTCAGTTAAGACCCTATGTAAGCTTAACTTTGCTAATCCAAATGTGTGATAGAAAAATTAACTGATGTTATATGTGTCTTGAAAATAAAATGTGTTGTTTTACCTTCATCTTTGGTGATAGCAGGCACCTTATAGATGGTGCTATACCATATGCCACAAATTGTCAACAAAAGAAGAAGAAGCAGTATGTGATTAACTGAAAAAAAATAAATAAAACAATTTTAGTTACATTAACAGAGAAAATCATAGTTTGAATTCATATATTTTCATGGGGTAACAATAGTTGGCTACTTACGTTTCCTTAAAATAGCCATAAAGTTGAACATGTAGAAGCACCTACAAAATATATAATACATTTAAAATGCATAGAGTAGTACACAAAACTGCTATTCTCTTATATGTTATTAAAAGCGAACAAAAAGTTAGACTCTGATAGGATAGTGAATCTCTCACTGGGCCAAGGTTCAGTATCTTGATGGTCGCTCCCGCTAGCTGTCAAAATACCTGAACAGTCTGATTGGTTGCAGGCATTGTTCAGGTATTTTGACAGCCAGTGGGGCAGACCAGCAAGATACTGAAGCTTTGCCCAGTGGTAGATTCCTCCATCCGCACAGTTTAGCATAGATGGAGGAATCAGTTGCACTTTTCCCATCTGACCATAGAAAATCTGCAGATAATCTATAGGTGTATGGCCAGCTTAAGTGATCTGACTACACTTTGGTACCGGTTGCAAGTGGCACATGTTGCTGGTTGTTGTTATAAAAAAATCTGCTACTTTTCTCTTGAGAGTTAAAGTGACACGAAGGCCTGGTTCACACCTGGGTGTTTTACAGCGCGTTCCTACGTAGGAACGCGCTGTAAAACACCCAGGTGTGAAAACCAATAATTGCCTATGGGCATGGTTCCCAGCTGGGCGTATATCACCGCGTAGGAACACGCTGAAAAACGCCCTACGCCCAAAGAAGTACTGGAGCTTCTTTAGGGTGTTTTTCCGCGCGTTTCCATTGGTATTCGCGAGTGTGGATCGGGGTTAACAAAGCGGTACCCCGGAGCCACACTCGGGAATAGAGCGTACAGGTCTTACCTTGTCTGCGATCCCCGCTGTGTCCTCCGGCGGCTGCCGACTTCTGGGTTCCGTCCCTTGCGAGCGGCCGCGTCGCAGGGGGGCGGAGCCGGCGGGAAGTTTGAAAGTGAAAAAAAATATATATTTTTTTTAAATAGAGAAAATAAAGGAAAAAACTAAAAACAAATCATACCGCCAGTGACGCGTGTTTCACTGAACGGAAAAACGTGCTAAAAACGAGCTGAAAAAATACGCCTAGGTGTGAGCCCAGCCTAAACTCAGGAGTTAAATCTTGAAAATGTATTCAAGAACCTCACTTATGAGCAAAAATGTATCTTATTTGTGTATCACTCAGCTGTAGATCCTCAAATCATCTCTGAATTGGTGCCGACCATGTCCTTCCTTCTGGAGGGGTGCTACTTTTGCTCCCCACGGTCCCTGTGTGTGTTGTAAAGTAGACACTGTTCCAAGCTCGCTCCTGTGATGGACTACAATCTCAATACAAATGAGTAAACTAAACATGAGATTAAGGTGTGGGGAAGTCGTGCGACCTCTACTACTGTAAGGTCGCACAACTTTTATCTTACGAACATGTTCAAAAACCCGCCGAAAATCGTACGATTCTGTGTGTAGCATGTTCGTAAGATAAAAGCCGGACGGGCCGGTGTGCGCAAGCGCACACTGCCGTTCGGCATGGTGGTTATCGGAAGCCCGCCCCCCAGGGGGGCGCGGCTTGCGATCATCGCAAGTACGATCTGCCTGTCCAAGATAGGCAGATCGTACGTTTTTTTAATTACCTTGCAACCATCGCAAGACAAAAGTCTTGCGATGGTTGTAAGGTGTGTGCCCAGCCTTCCACGTCTGTGTGGCGTGCATTCAGTGGCGTAACAATCGTCATAGCGACCCAGGCAGCCGCTATGGGGCCTGTGCACAGGGGGGCCCGGCCAGGCATCCCTCTGATGCCGTGTGGGCCGCCTGGGTCGCTATGGCGTCTCTGGTGCTGGCTGTCACTAACATAGCTCAGCAGCTGCTGTGAAAGAGAACGTTCCCCCTCACAGCCGCTGCGGAGCTGTGTCAGTGACAGCCAGCAGATGCTGCAGAAAAGGCCGGATACACCGGCGTTTGCAGTAAAGAAGGAGGCGGTGCCCGCTTAACAGCAACCCCGCCTCCTCTCACATCACTGGTCAGCGATCTTAGAGCAGGTGGGGCCAGTGATGTAAGAGGAGGCGGGGCCCATCTATGGAAGGAGGCGGAGCCCGGGAACGGAAGAGGAGGCAGGGGGCCCGGCGGCGGTGACCACCACTGACAGGTTAGAGGCGTGCAGCCCAACTGAGACCTTGCAGAGCCCACCATAGATAGTCTATGGTGGGCTCTGCAAGTGGCATAACTAGCAATCAAGGGGCCCCATACAAAATTTTGCTATGGGGCCCTGTGATTTCTAGTTACGCCCCTGCGTGCATGCCTGTAAACTGGGAGGGACAGGTGCTGTGTGTGATTGCGCTCAGCAGCCTGTTCTTTCCTCTGGGAGGATGCGGTTGTACGTTGTCATACGGACATCCATCCTGTCTGCGTTCAAGTGCAGACACCCATACCCGCACAGATGACAGGGTACAGCTGCGTCCTATAGGGAAGAACCGGTTGCCGAGCGCAATCACACACAGCACCTGTCCCTCCCGGGATCAGCTGTTTACGGGCATGCAAGCCACACGGATGTGTACGCCCAGTGTGAATGAGGCCTTAAGGTACTTGAATGCATTTTTAAGATTTAACTGAGTTTAGTGTCACTTTAACCTCTCCATAGTAAGCATAATAAAACAGAACTATGGCTGTGCTTTTAGTTTTTTTCTTGTGTACGGCTAAATATAAGACATGTTCCACGTTTCTAACAACTGATGTGGTAAGTATAGGCCTTTGAGTACTGAAAGGGTTAAAACAGCTGGCCGACTGTGACAAAATGTGATTGTTTCCTGTGTCTGGCAACCAAAAAAAAAAAAAATTCAATATAGGTTTAATTTCCTGCAATCGTGGTCGCTTGCAAACTAACTATATAAGTCCTCCTAACGTCCTTTTGTTCTGCTGTAAGCTGAGCTGCCATTTGCACAAGTTTAGATTATAACTATTGTACATTTACATTACAAATAAACCATGTACGCAATATCTTGCAGTCTGTTAGTATTACATTTCTTAAGAAAACATTGGGCAGTGTACCAGGTAAGATTTACATACCAAGGCGGCAGCGCGTTAACCCAAGTTGTCATCAGCCATTTGTAGGGAGTGGGCTAAAAAAAAGTTCCACGCTGGTCTGTAATTGTCATCAAGGAGCTGGGCTGTAAGTGGCGGTGTACCAGGATAATCCAGGCAATGACTGCACCCCTGCTCTTTTCCTTTGTTCCATCCAGGGTGATCGACTGCTCTGTAAAATAAGACAGAAAGAAATGACTTCCAGATGGGAGGATTTCCAACATCTGCAAAGCTCTCTAGTGTTCTGCCTTTTGCCTTCCTGGCTGGAAAATAGAACTCTGCAGCTAAAAATTGCTGCAAACTGGCTGCACTGTATATACAAATAACATGAGAACAATGGCAGACTGAGACTATACATATACAAATAAGGCTTTCTTTTGTTATGAGGACATCATTTTTTTTGTTGTCTATGTATTATAGAAACCTTACTTGTATTATCTTCCTATATTCTCCAGGACAGCTGGACACAGACTGGGTGGAAAAGCAGTATGAGACAATCAGGTTCATGCCGGCAGCTTATGACTGAGAGCTTGCTGACAGGGGGAAAGAGCAGCTTAATGACCTTATCAGTACGCTGTTGCTCTCTCGATCCTTTTCTAGTTAGTAGTACATCCAAAAGTACTCAGTAATCCGCTTACCTGCAGAAGATCACAAGATTAGATAAACAGAACAGAATAACAAGTGACAATTGTGGCCCCACCCCACACTGCAAGGGTTAAGTACTCATTTTGTCTAGGGAGCTAAAATAACAAAGTTTTACTCACCCGAACCACAATGCCGCGCTTGCTCTTAGATCAGTCCGTTTAGCCTCGCTCCCTCTTCACTCCAGCAGTCTAAAGTCCTGTGAGTAATCAATGTTCTATGAATTCCATTGCTGGAGCAGAGGAGGAGAAAGTGTGTAGCCTCACTGCAAGGGTTAGGATTTTATTTGCCCGGAGTTCTGCTTTAAACTGTATACCTGAAGTATAGCTGTGACGCTTTCACCTCCACTGATGTATGTCATATGTTGGCAGCAGCGGGCTCCAGTAAGCAGACTCCCACAGGCTATAGTAGCCAGGAGCCTGTTTACATGTGCAAAGCTGATTGTCAGCCTTTCACTAGAAGTAAGTGGGGCAGCTGTGAGCGAGATCTTACCGATGATAGTTGTGAGTGATCTAGATGTCTTCAAGTGCCTTCAGGACTTAGTTCTGATATCTTTGATCTCTATTAGTGACTTGGCCCCCAACAAATTGAGCTGCTTTTCTTAAGGGCAGCAAAGCTATTTAACTCTTGCAGAGACTCTTCTGTATTAATACTTTATGGAAGAAAAGAATATTTTGCAGACAGTTTTATTATAGCTTTCATCGGTTTGTTTAATCCTTGCACATGCACTGTTTAGTTGCACTGCATCATTACGTTTCATCAGCAGCAGTTATGCATTGCATATTATTTCACAAATCATAGAGATTATCATTATTTCTGCCTTTTTTGCTTTATAATTCTCTTTAAGCTTTGCTTCTGTTGTAAAGCAGACAGTCGGCTCTACAAGTTTAAACAGAGTCCCGGCGGCAAAGTCACGAAGGGGTTAAAGGCAAACGTTTTTTTCCCTCCCCCCAATGTTAGTGTCATCACTTACCTTAAATGATGTCTCTTAATCCGATCTTCTTCTTTCCTGTCCTTTTCAGCCTTCTCTCCAGTAAGGACGGGCTCGGGCGTGTTCGCAGCTCCACGTGCCGAGCCCGCCAGGAAGCTGACAGCGCCAATCACATGTACTGAGACTTTTCCCGATCTCTGCAGCTCTCCAGCGCTGCTGCGGGTCTCCAATCCAGCGTGGACTCCTCTGTCTTTGCTGGCACTTCCTGTCCCATGGTGTCTGCATGCGGCTGCACACGTCCATAGACTTACCTTGTGTCTCTCTGCGTCTCCCGGCCGAAAATCCGAACTGCGCATGCACCCGCCCCAAGATGCTTTGCGGCTGCCCGAGAATTTTCAGACGGAAGTCCGCAGGGAAGACACAGGTAAGTTTAAACCGCTTATAAAAAAACTGCTTATTTTAAATATATCTGCATATATCTACTGCTTGATAGCAGTAGATATATGCAAAAAAACCCAGAGGGTTTAGAATCCCTTTATGGAAGACTTAAGTGTGCATTTAGGTCTAGCAGATATCTTTACTTATAATAAATCAGCTTTACCTTGCGGGCCTGCCTCTTGTAAATGCACAGCTCTTGTAGAGACATAGTTACATAGTCAGGTTGAAAAAAGACACATATTCAGCCTAGAGACATGTTGCTACAAGTGTGAGTAGTGTACTATTATCTGTGTGCAGAAAGGTTATGCAGAGAGCAGGTGTATAATATTACACACCACCCAGTGTGTGCAGACAGTATGGCCACTTGCCGACCTAGCACAATCCACAGGTAGCTTACGGTAATTTTTTTTCAATAAGACCCAGAAGTTAAATCATAGTTTTACTTCAGGTTTGAAACATAAGAAGACAATAAGTCCTGTTTTAAAACTGAAACTAGAAACTGAGTAGCAGAGAGGCAAGGTGTGCCTAAAGACTGTACCAACTAACAAAAAACAGGAGGGGGGGGGGATAATGAAACGTACCAAATAAAAAAACAAGACAGAAGACAATATTTAAAAGTATAAGAACAAAATAAAAAAACTAAATAAAAGATAATGCATATACTGTATATGTATTTGACTGAAATACATATACAGTATATGAACTGTTTTATTTATTTATCTATCTGTCTATTCCAGGTATTATTTATATAGCGCCAACAATTTACACAGTGCTTTCCATAGTTGCACATTCACATCAGTCCCTGCCCTCAAGGAGCTTACAATCTAAGGTCCCTATCTCACATGCATACATACTGTATGATGGCCAATTTAGACAGCATGTCTTTTAACCTTCCAGCATGTCTTTGGAGTGTGGGAGGAAACCAGAGTACCCAGAAGAAACCCACACAAGCACAGAGAGAACATGCAAACTCAATGCAAATAGAGTCCTGACCAGGAAGAGATTTGCAATTCTGTTTAACCAGTCTGATGACCCAAACACCCGTCATACACAGCCAGATACCTCACTCCTTCAGACTCCTTGCCTGAAAGGAGATGCCATCATCTCTCTGATCTCTTCTCTTAGGAAGCTGTCAGTTTTAAAAATACAGCAACATGCCTAGTTGGCTTATGGTGCGGCCCCTTCATCTCTCAGCCTTACAGAGGGCTTTTTTACACCAGCAGCCGCGCTCAACCGCACGGCCACTGGTGTGTGTGACTGGACAGTGCCGATACGCTCAATCGAGCCAAATCGTACTGTTTCTTTTTTTGTTAGAACTTTATTGAAATGTCACAACTGTAATTTCTTTAAGTTCTATGGCCTCACTGTAGTGTGCTGCAGTTTCACTGCGTCTCACTGCGGTGCACTTTAAAAAAAAAAGTACTGCATATTCTGTTACAACCGCCGCTTTATGTATTTGCACATAGTTTCCTGAGACTCATCTGTACGGATAGTATGACAACCTACTGACTATGCAATATTCACAGATAGTGTTCAACTCGATAAGAAGACTCAGAGTAGAATCCAATGTAGTTTATTTGCCTTCTGAATACAGAGGATGTGATTCCTTGTCATTCTTAGAGTGAAAAGACATTCCCATCTTTGCCATTAACAGGTTAAACAGAGACCCTTTTACCTCAGAGGGGTGTGATGCAAAAAGAGGAAGAATGACTGGGAAAGTCTAGCAGAAGACTGTACCAATGTACAGAAAACAGCAGGGGTGAAGGGAAGATACCAAGTATGCACAGATTAGGCTATAACAATGCTAATCTACCACTTGTAGCTAAGTATACAGAATAACACAATGTAATGATATATGATATACAGTGTAACTGAAAAAGCAGAAATAACAAAAATGACACTGGATGTGGCAGCACACTTCCCGTCTGAAATCTTTAGATTTCACTGTAACATATTAACTGTACGGCCTTGTTCACACCAAATGCAGACCAGATCCGGTCAGGTTTCTGCACACGCAGTGCAGTGGGTTGTGCCGCGTTTTGGATGCGTTTAGGGCCGGTTTTGGTACAAAAAAAAAATGTTTTAAAGTTTAACATGGGCTTTCAGGCACTTGCATGCGTTTTTGCGTTTTAGATGCGTTTTTGATGCGTTCCAGACCACATCCAGAGCAGGTAAAATAGGGCTTGCCGCATTTTTTTCATCCGGTCTGGATCCGCACGCTGCGATGTGAACTGGAGGTCAAAATACCATAGCAATACATTGGACGCAGTTTTGATCCGGTCTGCACCTGCTCTGGTCCGGATCTGCTCCGCACTTGGTGTGAACAAGCCCTAAGACATGAGTCCATAAAGGATGGAATGTCTTTTAAAATGAAATTCAGTCAGAGAGGCCACAAAAATGTCAAACCTCGGCTGACTCGATTGGTAATCCACTAGAAATTAGGTGTTTTAATTGTCTTTGATGTCCTGAACGTGGCATCCTGGAATAGTCTATGAAGACATTAGGTCACCTGTCCAAGGGCAGCAGAACCCATAAGGTCCTCCAGGGGTGTGAGTAAGATAGTCTCTCCAGTTGGTTGAAGAAACGTCTTGATGAGTTTTGGAGATTTTGCTTGCAGCTTGTAAAGAAAAGGATGGTCTTGTATGATGACAGGAGTAGCTTGGGACTCATTCCCTGCAGGTGACTCTGTAGCATCTACTGAAGTCAGTAGTGGTTTAGAGTAGCTAGTCACACAGTCCTTGAACTGAAGAACATGAGGATTGTTGTGCAGGATCTCAGTGATAGTAGATTTATGATCATTTGTTGAAGATTTAAACTTGTTGCTGTGGTTAGCAGTTTGGAAGGTTGTCTTACTTGGAGTATGACAAGACAGTTTTTTAGTGTAGCCATGACCTTGTTGTATGATGTCCTCGTCTGCCTCCGATGATTACCCAACCTTGGTCTGTCTTTTGGGCATACACATAATTATTACAACCACTGTACAATTCACGTACCTTGTGTACTCTTAGGATGTCTCTGCCTAGCAGAAGCATAATTTTGGCATCAGGATCAAGAGGTGGGATACGGTTGGCTAACTGACGTAGATCAGGTTCAGAAAGAGCATCCTCTGGTGTAGGTATTTCATCTTTGTCATTAGGGAGTTGATTGCACTCTATGAGCATAGGAAGATAATTTCTTTCAGTCCCTTCTATGGGAGAAATGAGTAACTCAGCATAGGTTGTTCTTCCTGTGAGTTGCACTGAACCAGCACAGGTGTGCAGTGTATAGGATAACACATTTCTCTTTATGCCGAACAAGTCAAAGAATTCTGAAGTAGCGAGTGAATGACTGCTTTGATCATCTAAGACAGCATACATCTTGACTGCCTTTTCAGGTTGTCTTTGACTAAACACTTAGACATATTTTTGCATGAGTTTTACGCCAAAGTCCTTTGTAAGATGTCACTACATTTTGATGTAATAGTTGCAGGTGATTGTTCATGTCTCTTCCCGCCATGACCTGCCGCAGCTGGAGGAGGATCTATTGAAGAGTCGTGCTCAAGTGGATGAAGTGCTTTAACAGGAGTATCACTTCCACACGCCATGCAACTGATTATGGCATTACAGTCCTTTCCAAGATGTTCTGTAGAAGCATAACACTTCAAACAAACAATGCATTTCCTGAGAGGATATATTGTATGAATTGGACATAGATGATTGGGATCTTCTATCCAGGGTTGGACTCCATATTGCTAGTTCGTGTGTTCGCCGAACACACAAACGATAAGGGCGATCGGCCGCTGAACGCCCCACAAGGCAATGCGCCTTGTGAAGCCCTAATTAGCTAGCTGCTAGCTCCGCCCACATGTTTATATGTTACCGGCATCTGTCAAAATCCCATTATGCGACGGGTGTTCGTCGTGAGTGAACGGGACGGCGGTCGTTGTTGTTTTTTTTAATTACTTCTATTTATTTTTTATTTTGTCAAGTCGTCGTCATCGTGGACAACGCTGGACGCCGTGATAGACGTTGGATTACATCGGTGGACCAATTTTCCTCCCCACTCAGGGGCTTCTTCAGAGGGGTGAAGAAGCCCTCTGAAGAAGCCCCTGAGTGGGGAGGAAACGCGTCAGGGTTATGTGTGCTGTTCAACTTCCCTGCACACTCATTAAAGCTCATCCCGCACATCAGCCGCGGCATTATCACTGTCAGCTTGGGCTTTGACAGTGCGGAGACGGAGCCCAGTTGCTTGGGATTGGATTGAAGTCAAGCCTGCATTGGAACCCTTAATGCATCTAGCAGAGTCTGAGTGAAACGACCGGACGACAGCTTGCTGTACTTTGCACAACCTTCGTACTGGGAATCGTCTACCTTTGAGATTTCTGCATATACTTCTTTTGCTTTACTGTGCGGCCGCACACATCTACACGGAAATGCTTCTGGGTTAGCTCTCAAAATTTGAAATTCGAGCCTGAGGGCCAGTGAGAGCCCCAAGCAAGGGAAAAAGGCAAGGGCACTTGCATCTCTAGCCCAGCCTATCCATCCCCATTTCCTGATCCTAATTACAATTATCTATTGAAGCAAACACATCATCCAGCACTTTGGAACCTGAGCAGGACTGTCTCTCCCAGAGCTCCCTGAGCAACATGAGTTGTGAGTAACCCGGGATACATTGTATCCACACATGAGATATCTGTCTAGTAGGTGGCAACTCCATAGTATCACTTTAGTTGGAGTGCAGACCACCCATGATTCTTGTATTATTGTTACCTTAGGGAAGTTTTTTAACTGTTTTTAAATGTCTCGTTGTGGATGTAATGTTAAAACTTTTTCTATGATTAAATATTCTTACTGTCAAATCATGTATTTTCTACCTGTTTATTGAACCGGCTCCGAGTAAGGGATTTCTATTCTTTTGGGGACACCTTATATTTTGATACTCCATGCATTACCTACCGATGACCCCTGTATTCCATGCATTAACTACTCATGACATCTGTACTCCATGCATTATCTACTGATGACCAATGTACTCAATGCGTTACTTACTTATGACCCCTGTACTCCATGCGTTTCTTGCTTCTGACCTCTGTATTCCATGTATTACCTACTCCTCACCCCTGCACTCTTTATGTTACATACTCCTGATACCTGCTCTCTGATCTATGCACTTTTTACCCCTTTGTTCTGCGTTATACACTGCTGAGCCCTGCACTCTGTGCGTTATACACTCTTGACCCCTGAAGTCTGTGCGTTACACGCCCCTGATCCATGCACTGTGTGTGTTACACATGCCTGACCCATAGTAGAGTAGGCTCAGAGTTTATTTACCCATGCGTCTTCCACTGTTAGCACAATTTAATCGCACACATGATTTGCCACATTATTTAATTCCTTATAGTGCCCAGGGCACTTTGTCTTTACATCTTCAATATCTGCTTCCTCCCAAGAGTTTGTGACCAGTTGTTTCACGGCAGCTAAAAATGGGGACATGATTTTGTGGGTGTGGCTACAAAGGGGTGTGATTTACAACTGGGTCATTTGGGTGTCCCCCAATTTCTTTTTGAAAATCTGGTAACGTTGTTATATTCACCTATCTAGTGGCTGGTCTATCCTACTTCCCCTTGCCAATCTAGTCTTGACATATTGGATGTCTGTGCTCCCCCACTGCATACCATGGCTCCATCCACTAACATAGTACCATAAGGCTTGGAGGATGAAACCACAGGGAGGGTGCAGTTGGGGAGCACAGGAACTTGGCACTTCCTAAGGTCTTGTTCAGACCCAATGCAGAGCAGATCCGCTCAGGTTTCGGCACACGCAGTGCAGTGGGTTGTGCCGCGTTTTTGATGCGTTCCGGGTCATTTTTGGTAAAAAAAATAATTTATATTTTTCGAAGGGGTTAACATGGGCTTTCAGTGCGCTCCAGGCATTTGCATGCGTTTTTGATGCGTTTGCATGCATTCCAGAGCAGGTAAAATGGGGCTTGCTGCAGTTTTTTCACCGGCTCTGGACCCGCACGCTGCGATGTGAGCTGGAGCAAAAAATACCATTGGAATATATTGGGCGCAGTTTTGATCTGGTCTGCAACTGCTCTGCGCTTGGTGTGAACACGGCCTAAGGCTCTGTTCACACCTTGGCGTATCGAATAAGCGCGTTTGTACCGTGGTTCCTGGTAAAAAAAACACGTGACAAACGTGGGTTTCTGAGGGCTACTTGGCTGTATCCCAATGGAAACGCGCGACAAAAACGCAGCAAAGAAGCTCATGTACCTTTTCAGGTGTAGGCCGTTTTGTAGCGCGTTCAGAAGGGCTGATATATGGCAAGGTGTGAACCATACCCATAGAAAACAATGGGATTTTCATGTTTGAGCGTTTTGTAGAGCTTTGAACGCGCTACAAAACCTACAGGTGTGAACCAGGCCTTAAGCTTTGAATGCCGAAGAGCCTGGTAAAGGCCACAGTGCTGGAACAGAACTGAGGCAGTATATTGCAAGGAGCTGACGGGTTTATATCCATAGATAGCAGACAGGGTCTCTTGAAATCCTGCCCTGACTGACATTGAGACATGCGCAAAGTGTCTCCCATTTCCTCTTGACTCCTTTAGAATTGGACGTGGTGAAGGGGGTGTTTGCGGAATGGCCTCAGTGCTCGTCCAGTAGTTGTATGGGGGCCCCCAAAAAGTGTTTTCGCACTTGTGGTTTTGTCTGCCACAGCACACGACTATCAATACATGACCCCGTATAATAGCATGAAATGAATTAGCGATGTCCGCTATGAAAGGATGCTATAGGGAACACCTGTACTGTGTTTATCCAGCAGAATAAATGTCCGCCGCCACACAGCCATGTTCTGGTATTACCCTCCACCCCTATGGGAAGTATAGGGGTCACTTGGGGTGCCTGAGGGGACACTTCACCGCACAGCCCTTCATTGGGCTCACCACGGCGGCCCCGCCCCCCCACACACGTCTCCTCCGTGCCACAGGTGGAGTCCCCAGGCAGCCCGCACTGGTGACAGTCCCCGCCTCCCCCGCCGCTGATAGCCCTGCTGGTGACCCCGCCGCCCCGCTGCATTCTGGGATGGGGGCTCGGAGGAGGCGGCTCGGGGGC